AAAAACATGCTGTAACTTTTTCAGTCTGAAAGTCAACTTGCTACTTTGTTAAAAGCGATATTTAGAGACCTGAGGGAGGGTCTTTATATTTTTGGGACTCACTTTCATTCTTTCTGAAATTTCCTCAGGTGTAAGTGGTTTTCAAAATGAAGCTCTGCAGGGAATCAGTGATTCCCAGGTGCCATCTCCAGCAAATCTGTGGGTCCAAGTTCAAATCTACAGAACTAGGTACTCTGAGGGCGGGTCCCATCAATCTATTTTAAAAAGCCCTCCAGGTGATGAATCTCAATTTCCTTAAAACTAGATAATAATGTAAATGATTCAGAGATCACTTCCATTTCCTTTGACCAACATTTTTAAAAGTGCAACTAAGAAACTATTTTTCTCCAGTCCTATGTAAGTATAAAAAGGTAATTCTAACAGACTCCTGTTAAGATTTGGAAAACACCAATCTCTTCTCAAGTAGAAAAGACCTATATAATTTGCAACATTTGCATTAAAGAAAGTGAGTAATAATCATGACAAGACTGTAGAAATGAAAGAGGAATGATCAATGAACCCTACTACATACAGACTTTTAAAAGGGGGCAAAAGAAAACACACTCAGAGTCTAGGACACCTTTATATGGCAGAGTTTATAACACTTTCAAACACTGCCATCTCGTGGTTGAATATTTTAACTGCATCTTTTATTAAAACTTAAAATTTTTCATTGAGACTTTGATACCTCCACTACTTAAATTCAGCAGAGACGTGTGAAACAAAGCTGATTCTGATATTTTGTCTCTCTTTTTCTTGATAATATAAACATATCCCCCATGGAATTACAACCATACATTATAAACATTTTAGTTCATAATGATCATTCAAATGTATAATGGGCTGTTATTCCCCCCAAACTTTATATACCAGTTTCTATCCTTGTAATTAGTGAGTTACATGGCACATAATTGTCTTAAAAACCATGAGCAACTTAAATAAAAGAAAGTACATGGTATTGGTTTTTTATTAAATCTTTTTGCATTATAATCAGGTCTCCTGTGTGTAATTCTGTGATTTTGCATTATCTAAGCATTTTTGGTTAAAGCCACTCTAATCCTAAATACATGAAAAAATTTAAAAACTAAGTCAGTAGTTTTTTGTAAGCAGATCATCAGATTATCAGTTGGAAAATAGCCAGGGCCAATTATAAGATCTCATTTTACTTCTTCGTAGCCATTTTTTTCTTACTACAAAATTATTGTATTTACTTACCCATTTACGATTTACTTCATTAAGTTTTTTAACATATTTGGCACCTACTGTATACTGAGTCTGGTTATTGGGATGAGAACAGTGATGAAGACTACATTGTTGTTCCTGTGGAACAGATTAGGGTGGGAACAGAGAAGAAAAATACATAAGAATAAAAATTCGTATGGTAATGATGGCTACGAAGAAGTAAAATGAGATCTTATAATTGGCCCTGGCTATTTTCCAACTGATAATCAGGAAAGTCTTTTCTGGTGACCTGAAGTTAAAACAGAGATACACATGAAAATAAGCCAGGTTGTACAGGATTTGGAAGAACATTCCAGACAATAAGAACAGCATTTGCCAATATGGAGATTCCTAGGAAAGCTTGGAATGGAACCACCATTTGACCCAGCTATCCCACTCCTCAGTCAATGCCCAAAGGACTTAAAGTCAGCACACTACATCAATATTTATAGCAGCTCAATTCATAATAGGTAAACTGTGGAACCAACCTAGATGCCCTTCAATGGATGAATAGATAAAGAAACCATGGTATATAAAAACAATAGACTATTACTCTCATTAAAAGAGAAAATGATGGCATTTGCAGATAAATAGATGGAGTAGGAGAGCATCATGCTAAGTGAAGTAAGCCAATTCTAAATAAAACCAAAGGCCAAATGTTTTCTCTGATAAGTAAATGCTGATCCACCATGAAGCAGGAGCATGGGAAAAAATGGAGAAACTTTGGACTGGACAGAGAAGGGTACGGGGAGAGGAGGAAGTATGGGGGGTAGGAGAGATGGTGGCATAAGACAGACATCATTACCCTAGGTACCTGCATGATTGCACAAACGGTGTGACTCTACATCGTGTACGAGGAGAAAAATGAAAAGTCATGCTCCATTTGTGTACAATGAATCAAAATGCATTCTACTCTCATGTATAACTAATTAGAACATTAAAAAAAAAAAAGAATAACCTTTGCAAAGTGATGTCTGAGGCAAGAAGGTTTTCGGGTTCTAGAAGCGGAGACCAGAGTAGCTCAAACTTTGCTCTGGGGGAAAGCCATTGGTATGTAGGGACTAGCTCCTATGTGGTCATGTGGTTAGAAATTTGGGATGCTGGCTAAATTTATGAAGAAACCATTAATGCAATCTGGTTACACTTTATAGCATCTGTGGGATTATTCTATAGATTGAATATTCAAGTAAGAATGAGGCAAGAAGACCTCATTCTTACAGGAGAAAGATGATTTGGGATTTTTGTAGGGTGGTAGTAATAGCAATCAAGGAAAATAAGTGAATTTAAAATATATTTTGGAGTTGGCACTGGATATGGGACAGTGAGGGAAAGAGTGGATTCAAGACGGATTCAAGCACTCTTGGCTTGAGTTCCTGGGCAAATGATGGGATCATTTATTAGGACACCCAACACCAGAGGAAGGAAGAGTGCAAATAGAGACAGCCTTTATGCATTTTCCTGCAAACAACATGATTTCATTTTTCTTTATGGCTGAATAAAACTTCATTGTGTGTATATATATATTGCATTTTCTGTACCTACCCATTCATCCATTGACAGACACCTCGTCTGGTTCCATCGTTTGGTTATTGTGAATTGTGCTGATATTAAAAACAGGTGTGCATATACTGCTATATTATGACTTTAATTCTTCAGGATAGATCCCAAGGAGTGGTGTCGCTGGGTCCTATGGTGGTTCATGGCTGGCCTTCTGAGGATCCTCCACACTCATTTCCATAGCAGTCGTACCCATTCACAGTCCCACGGACAGTGTCAAAGGGTTCCTTTCTCTCCACATCCTCTCCAGCATTTATTGTCCTTTTATTCTTGATGGCTGCCATTTCTAACTGGACTGAGAAGGAATCTCAGTGTGCTTTTGATCTGCCCCTCCCTGACTGTGAGAGAGAGGTTGAACTTTTTTTTTTTCATATTTTTGTTGGCCATTTGTGTTTCTGCTTTTGAGGAGTTTCCGTTTAACTCATGCCTGTGCATTTGGCTTAAGCATTGGACCACAATATTGTCATTTACGGAAGTGCCCATTTTGGGGGGAAAAAAACAACAGGTTTAGAAAAGGAATAGTATGCACTCACTTTTAAAACACTGAGTTTGATGTATCTTTTAGACGTCAGAGAAAGTCAAGCAGAAATTCATGTAAAACACCTCAGCTCTCAGAAGGGTACTGTGCTGAAAATATCTTCAAGTCATCTGTCTGCACCTGTCAATCAAAATCTTAGTTGGACAAGATATGTTAAGGCGTCAACACAGTGGGACAGACACCTAAGATTGAGTCCGCAGATAGCTGCAGAATGCCCAAAGTGTGGATAACATATTCTATTGGCAATTTGTAACGCACCAGATGTATTAATTTGTTTTTAACCAGAATTTCCAAAGTACTTTGATGGAAAATAAAGTGATGCAAGAAACCTTCTTTGGAAAATGATTACATTAGCAATTACTATGACAAATTCTAGATTTTCCTTTCTGTTATAAATAGACCAGCCAATCAACATTTTTCCTGATCTGCTCGCAGGATTTATATATTTGAGTTTTTGCACAATATATATTTATATATATATATAAAATTCAGGGAATATCTGACCATTTCCTTCTTTTATAATTTGCTTATGTATATATAGGATCAGATTGCTCACACAGTGGCTGCTATATTGATGATACAAATGCCATTGTATTAGAACAGCTTATAACTTACTAAACTGCACATCCTTGGAAAGTGGCTTCACTCAATCTGTGTATTGTATTATATGGACTATCAAGTGAAAATAGAAAAAGAGGAGACCAGTTTCATTGAGTATTTCAGTTCCTGGTAAGAACACAGAATAATCATCCTAAAAACATTCAGGACGCTTATTGTGGAAAAATATTTCTGGAACAATCTCCCCCACCCCCCAGTTTCTCATAGAAGTGAAAGGAATATGATGTTTGTGATTCATTTAAAACAATTTTTCTGAATTGCTACTTGGCAGACTTCATATATGTAATTGTTTTATGTATATTATTTCCCCTATTATATATCTTGACCACATATCTCAAAACCAAAAGTTTGTAAACATAATCAATGAATCAGCATGAAATGAAACACACCATTATTTAGCATTTTTTTAAGAGGATGTAAAAGAGTGGAGGAATTAAAGAATATGTATTATATAATGGTTATTGACCTGATTTTGGAGTCAACAGCCTTGGGTTTAATTTCTAGTCCTTGCTCACAGTAGTAACACCAAGTTATTCAGCCTCCTTGTGCCCTAGTTCTAAAGCCAAAGGTTAGTCTAAGGCTAAATGTGAGAATGTATGTAAGATTCTTAGTACAAATGAAAGGATTTCAAGGTTTTTTTCAATTGATTGTCTACCAAGCCAGACTGGGTATCCCAACTTTAAAACACCGTGAAAAATATCTGGTAGCCATATTTGAAAGTATAACATACTGAAAATCCTCTTGAAAAAAGTTAACAGATGAATATACGTTGATCTTAAAGTTATATGTGTTTAAGTATAAATTTTATTGACATTACATTTTATAGATCTTCATGATGTCAAGTACTCTATTTGCAAAAAAAATTGAATTCTCATTCAAATCAAAGGACTTTACTTATACCTCACTTATAGTTCATTGATTTATGCTTCATTCATTAATAGAATCTGCAGCAAATGGAGTTAGGGCTGATATGTAAATTCTGATTCTTCTTAAAAAAAAAATGGATAGAAAACAATCCAGACATCTGTAGAGTACATGAAGTTGAACTTTTATTTTGAAAGCTGAATTTCATGTGTAGTGAAAATAGTTTTGAACCATACATAGTCAGAAGCATAATACAAACACCACCTACGATACAAACACATTTCAATAAAGTTCTACTGTGAGTATTAACCTAAGTAAAAAATAAAAATGGAAATTGGGGAGGAACCTGCTCTATGTATTCTCATCTCTTCTGATGATATAATCAAACAATGTAAGATACAAAACAACGTAAGCTTTGGCTCAGCCCTCCTTATTACGCTATAGGAACACTGGGATATGTACTACCACAGATTACAAACCCAATCCCATTATAACCAATTTAAAACTGTTACAAGAATTATATCTTAAAGGCATGTAAACATCTTTAGGGTTTCAATTGGCAATTACGTTTCAGATGCTTAGAAAAACACACCAACATTCTTATTATTGTCTTCTCTTTAGCTCATCTCTTCCATGAATATAAAATAGGAAAAATATTATTTGAGACTTCCAGCATAATTTCATTGTGCTCTACACATTTATAAACATGGGTACATCTAAAATATCAGATGCCTTTATACCAACAGAATAAATTCACCAAATTCACATTTTCTTATAAATATGCATGCAAAATTAGTGGAAAAAAAACACTTTCGTATAGCAAAGACCCTGCTTAATTTTCTTCTGATTAATAATTTTCAATGGCATGTGCAAATCTTACCACTCATCGAGCAGTAGATTTATTTTTTTATTGTTTTTCTGTAGAGTTGTTCTTCTATAAAAATATATTTATGTGCTCGCAGGATAAAAGTTGAGTTGGTGTGTGTGTGTAGGGGGGTGACTTTTAGATACATAATTCGATTACAGGTTTGTTTATGAAGTTAGAAGGCATCTTAGCTTTTTATCATTTGCAAATTTATATTCATAAAAAAAGAACACCCTGTGACAAAGATCATTAGCACTTCGTAAGTTGAGAGTTTGAAGCGAAGGAGTGTGAAGCCACTTGCCTAAGGTTGATGTGTAAAACCAGAGCTGGAACCCGGAAGAGGAGTAGGATCTACTCGGCCCTTGGACAGCTCGCTAGGAGGCTGTCCCCATCCACGATCCTTGAGATCATATGCACTCGACCACATTAAGGTCACATTGACGGTACACCAGAGACAGTAAAGCCAATTAAGGACAGAATTCTAGGTACTGGCTGCTCTTATTCAGTGGGCATTTTGCAAGTAATTATTGCCTATTAATAACCAACACTGCACATCACAGACTCTGTTACTCGTTTTCTGAAGGAAAAGGAGAAAATCCAGTTTAACCTACTTGATTTTGTTTTTCATTTAAAACTTATTCTGACCCTTACAACACATGAATAATTTCATAACTGAAACCAGGGAAAGTCATGGAATTCCATGCTGAATGTTTCTAGGAAAAGCCACGTTTTATTGAGAAGAGGCATCAGAGAGGGCACAAGACAGACACGGTCCAATCTCATTTTTCATGTCTGTCAGTTTTGACCCTCTGAAAATATGATTAGGCACCTTGTTTCTCAGCTGAAGGATGACAAAGTCTCAGAGTCAATACTTCCATATTTGCATTGACTTCTGACTTAAGATTCTAATGTTTCTAAAGGATCGACTTCTCACCTTTGAGACATGATTTCCAATCTGCAAGACCTTCTTAAAACCACTTTTTCAGGGATGACCGAGAAGAGGAATAGAATAATGGCAGAATCGAACTTGGGAGTCCCAGCCTTCACCTGGTCAGGAGCTGAGCATCACATATGCCTCTCAGAAAAATCTAGACATGAGGATACCTCTGATTTCTGTGCCTTAGAAATCCGCTTGTGCTAGAGGCTCAAGCTGCAGTGTTGGATGTGAGGACCCTTGCAATCACATGGGTGGGGGGCCGGGATATCCCCCTCGGTGAATGTTTATTTTCAGGGGTGTGGTCAATTCCAAGCCCATGAATATGGTTTTAAGTAAGACTTGCATCTTGGGCTTGCAGGACACATGAGGTTAAAAGGACAGCTATTCCATGCACATGACTTCATCAGCCATGATTAATGTCTCAGGGTTGGGTCCCCAAGATACATCATGGATCACGTAAATCATAGGTTCGGAATTAACAGTACACATTAAATAATCACAGTTCAAAACAAAAAATAAAGCAACATCTGTGAGTCAATTTCTTTTAAATACTTAAATCGTTTCAGGGTGAGGTTAAACAGGTTTCTATTAAACGCTGAATTTTACAGATAGGTATGAACAGTCCTTCATACCACTTTCTACAACATTTCCATATATTATTTTGAAAAGGACCTACTAGGAGCCCACAAGCCAGGAACTCAATTCCCTGAATTTGCACTGACTTTGACAGGAAGAAATTATAGGGGAAGAAAGAGAAAATCTCACTATAAGTGCATTTAAAATGTGATCTACATAAATCTATGCATAGGAATGTGCACTGTCAATAGTTTTTCTTTGTTGGGGACTGGGCTAGGGGAACACTCAACAACAAAAACTTATTGTGAAAAACAGGAAAACGTTTCCCTCGATATTTATATGAGCTTTGATTTTGAGGCGGTTGGAAAAGCACGCGATAAGAACAAAATCCAAATGCTTCCTACAAAGTCTTCAGTTCAGGAAGCTCAGGTCACTGGCTGCAGTTTGGAAGAAGGAAGACGGCAATCTAACTATATTCTCTACCTGTACAGACATGCCTGCCTGGGGTTCTTTTTCCCACTCCAAAATAAAACACATCTATGGTTTCAAATTGTGGAAATACTAACTTAATCTGTACAATGCGTTCATGAAACATATGCCAATGTACCACCACATAAACAAACAAAAACAGGTCACAGTGACCAACTGGAAGATGATGACATAGAAATGCCTATTAGAATCCAGAAGCAGGTACTACACATGACACCTGTTCTTTGTACAAGGACCTTCTGACCACTGCACCTTTGAAGCTAAAGTTAGTGCCACACAAAAAAAGAAAAAGCTAAAAATGAACAAGCAATGAAGATGCTTCTGAATGTTATAACCGATAAAAAATTTTTTCTTAAAAAAAATTGATATTGAAATTAAAACGTTATAACTCTGTTTTAAACATGGCCATCTCTGGGGCAAAGAGTTAGAGGAGCTCAATAAATACTAGTTGCTTTTTTTCACCTAAGACTTTTTTTTTCTACTAACATTTAAATAATAAATTCAGACTGTATATATTCAAGGAAGTGTTTTAATAAGATATTCATATTTCTTCTTTCTTTTTTTTTTTTTTTACATTTTAAATAACCAGTTTGCTTAGGATCTTTTGAACCTGCAAAGAAGCAAAGTCACCCAGACAGTTCTCAGAGACTGAATACAAATGTGTACACAGAGATTAAACCCAAAGGTGGCAAATCAATGCACACAGTGAACAGGAAAAAAAATCAGGCGATGTGGAGTGCTCAAGGGGTGCTTTGGATTCAGAGGAGGTGGATCTAAACCCAGGATCTGTTGTTGTGTTCTGCATTGTGAGCACCTGCAAAGTAAAGCAAAAAAAATAAAATAAAATAAGATGTGGCCTGAAGTGTCTGGTGTTCCATCTTTGAAGGCAGTGCTGTTATGGTTCTCCACCTATCTGCAGCGCGTGGCACTCGGGATGCCAATCTGCAGGCGTGTTTCTATTCCTACGTGAACGTTCTTGCTCCCTTGGACAGATGCACATGGAAGGTTGGGGTGACACAGGAAATCATTTGCATGGGCGCTGTTTATGCTCGAAGTGGAAACGTTGCGGTGGAGCTTCCATTGCTCTCCACAGACCCCTTCTCCTTGGACCCCGTGTAAGCGCCAATAAACGATCCGTCTTCGTTGAAGAGACCTTGGTCTCCCTCTCCGTACTCGACTAAGCTGTCAGCACTTTCTGTGGCTTGCATGTCCCGATGGAGGGACCGAAGGCTTCCTTTCAGGGGTTTCTCATCACTGTCACTGAGGAGTTAAAAAAGAAGGGTTCAGCAGAATCCAGGACTCATCATAGGCATGGAAAGCAAGACCTTCTCCCCGGTGCCAATAGGCTTTAGGATTCTCCAGGGATTCTTATCAGCATGGGAGACAGGTAGGTACCTGAAGCTCAGAGGACATTATCACAAATCAGTACTTAAAGAGTCACAAGTGAGCTGCACCTTTCTCAGTCATGGAGAAATGATTTTTCTATCACTCTCAACATTTCTGTTTCTCTTAAATTCAGGAGCTTGGGGGGGTGGGTGGGTAGGGGGGCATGTAGAGATTCAACCTATTGATTGGCAAAGAGGCACTATGGTCTCAAAGTCTGTGAAATAACCAACGGATAAAAGTTAACAAATTCAGATATGTTAAACTGAAAAATAAGAAGAAAAGGTTGGTATTTTTAAAACATAAATGCTGTACGTCTATTAATAGGGTGGGTTTTGCTTTTCAAGAGAAGCAAATTGAATTTAGCAAACTATAGAGTGATACAATTTTCTAAATTTCTGATCAGGATTTTTTAAAAAGTACCAATTAGTTTTATAAAGACACACATCAAATAAAATTAATTTATACAACCTGAAAAAGCATTGATTCAGAAAAAAAAATCTAATTTAAACCTGTAGATTTATGATGTGTGTATACACCGGTGCTATTCACCAAATATCTAACCTCAGCCTTCTGGGAACATGGCATGGTACTTCTTCCTGTCCACACAGAGTTATGCGTCTCCACATATAACTTGCTTTGTCCAAAGAAAACTAAGCAAAGTTGGCCTGTGTCACTTTCAAGAGGGAAATGTGGAGCCAGGTCTCCATTTCCCGGGTTCTGTTTACACTGCTGTGTGGACCCTGGATCCTCATCCAGCCCTGATGCTCCTAAGTGACCAGGAGTAAGCCGGGCTTACTTTAGGTTGCATATAAGGGATCCCTGGAAACACTCTTGTGGCAATTCAGGAATATTCAGAGGTGACATGATTAGATTACGAGAGCTATAATCTCATCAGTGGATTAATGCATTTGATGGCTTAATAATTTAATGTACTAGGGGGTGGTAACTGTAGGCAGTTGGGGAGTAGATGGAGGAAGTAGGTCACTGGGGTGTGCTCTTTTTCCCCTCTTCCCTGACAGTATTAGGCATTGGACCCAGGATTGCTTTACCACTGAACCACACCCCCACCATTTTTGGTTTTTTATTTGGATACAAGATCTTACCAAGTTGACTTTGAACTTGCAATCCTTCTTAGTTGCCCAGTTGATGGGATTACAGGCATGCATCACCACACCTGGCTGAAAAGGAGTCCCAACACATCCTGGAGAGCCCCCTACTTTATACTCCATTTCTTGCTCTTTCTCCCATGTATATCATTGTTGCTCTTTCTCCCATGTATGGCACCCTTATATACCATTGTATGTTTGGCGGTGCTCTGCCCAGCAGCTATAGCAACATAATCTTCTCATCCTTTATGGCCTACCTTATCTCTTTTGGATATTTCTTTCTGCAGAATTCACCCAGGCAGAAATCCCTTCCCTTTTGTGTAACTAGTTAATTTTAGAGAATTGCATCTATAAGTATCTTTCCCTCACGGACTTGTGTCACCTAGAGGGCTGGGTTTGTAACCTATTTACCTTCGTAGGTGCATGGAAGGTATGCGCATGTGTCTGTGGATACAAGAGTGAATGTGACCGAGGTTCACTGCGGCCATGCTAAAGAGTGATTTTAAGATACTTGATCCACTCCAAGCAGATATTCCAGCTAAGTTACAGCAGTGTCCTTGTATCACATGCCCTTTTTTTGCACCTTTAGTACACCTGATGAATATGTGCATTTTGAAAAGGAAGGTTACCATTTACCTGTATTCACCAAAAGTTTCATCTTTCACGGACTGGACTTCTGGATCTGGATGTAAGTCCTCTTTTTCTTTCACTGAAAAAAAAAAAAGTAAGGATGCGGATAATGCAAAAATTTGCTCACGACACTTTGGCAGTGCAGTTGAAAGGCGGTGAATCAAAAAGAACAGCATAATTCCAGATTTTCTGAAACCAGTGATAAGAAAGAAAAGGAATTATCTGGGTTGTATGTAGTTTTCATTATGCCTTCAGTATGCTGCCAATCTTCATGAGACTACTTGATATTATATTGTCCTCACATCTTGAAAGAGTCACTTTATACTGGCCCCTGGATGAAGACCAAATTAGTTAATATTCATTTTACTATCCAAACATTTTCAAGATGCCCTATTAGATCTGATATGAAACTAACATGTATAAAAGAAATCAATCATTTAATTACTCTGTATCATTATCTTACTAAACTTGCCTCAACAACAAATTATCAAGGGCTACTGCAACATTTTGAAATTTAGATTTATTTCCAACAGTGGGATACAAGTCATGGTTTCCCTTTTCTTGGAAAAAGGAAATAAACCGCCCTCCTTTTTGGCAGTTAGTACCAGTACTGTCCAGACGATTCTCTTAGTTTTCATTCCATTTGAAAAGATGGATTGTCTTTTTTTTTTTTTTTTTAAGGGCATGATTTGAGGAAGTTCTTTAAAAATAGATGAGTCCGCACTTCACTAATAGTTTTTTGTTGAGGCTACCCAAAGAGGAATGCTAAATCTCTTTAAAAGTTTCCAATGAGAGATGTAGAATATTCATGAGCCATCACGAATATAATTCATAATTGAAAGAAAAACCTGAGATGCATAACTGCACAAATTATCCATGGAATTTAAAAAAAACGGAGAAAATTGTGCCCTTGATGGTTCTATGTATATGATGGATTCCCCATAAACATTTGCTGGAGGAACCACTTGCTAATAACAAATAGTTGTGGGATCTAAACCTTCCCTCCTATAAAAAACAGGATGAATTCTAAGCAAAATTATTTATGATAATACATATATCCGAAAAAAGACAAAATAAGTTTGAAAGGTGAATGCAATTAAAATAAAAGCAAACATTATAGAAAAAAAAGAATGCTTTTTATTTATATGGAATATACCATTAATTCAAGAGGTGGGGTACCCTACAGATGTCATGGTAAATAGCACCACAGTGTTATGCATGCATGGCCAAGGCAATGCAATGGTTAATTCAAGGAACATGGAGTAGTGGAGCCAGTGCTCCGGAAGGCACTAGAACAAAAACATCAGATTCATGTATGTATACAGAAGCATAGTATAAATGGGTAGGGGGGGGGTCATTTGTTCTTAGGAGATTCCTCTCATTTGTGGAAGCTAGAGGGATGTGGAGAATTTGGGGTGGGGCATCTCATAATTATAGAAGGGAAACCAGCAGAGAAAATAGACCAGAAAGAGGTCCTGAGGAATTAAACTGATGCTATGTGTATATAGGATTGTGACCCAATGATGTCATGTGTCTGGATGACAGTGATCCCATGATGTTAGGTGCATGAATGATTGTGACCTCATGACACCAGGTGCACAGAAGACTGCTACCCTATGATGCTAGGTGCATATAATAACGAACCCCACACTTATGTATTATTATGATGCACTAATAAAAATTAAATTAAAAAACAAAAAGCACCTGTGTGATTTATGAATACATTTCCTTAATATCTCAGATATTTTATGGATAGAAAATAAAAGAATGGAACTATTATGTGCCTTGTTAGAGCCTGTTTTAAATACTAGAATCTAGAAAACAAGCAACTACTTAGAGATAATAGGATAGACCGCACATATTCTCTTTAGTTGGTTCATTCAGCAATATTCTCCCTCTAGTATATTTATGGAATTTGCTTTAAGTTTCACTTTGATGTGCAATATAAAATAAAGGTTTCTGAAGAATGCATCCCAGAAAATACCGTTTGTTAAAAATCACTCAGGGGAAGAAACGGTCTTACCTGAATACTTCCCACCTTTATTCCTCTTCACAAAGCAAACAGTTAACAGAATCAGTGTGAGAAGAGCGATTGCACACATCAGTCCGATAAACCAGCCTTGAGTGGAGATGTCATCATACAACCCGGCATATTCTGTCATACGAAAGAAAAGAAGTCGAAACATTGAATGCTAGGAACAGTAATGTACACATCACATCACTTTGGGGGAAAGTCAGAATTTTTTTTTAAACAACCAAAATGACATCGATATTATTTTTCCTTGGAATGATCCCAGAAGAAAAGTGATCTGAGGGTCTTTCCTTGGCGGGGATGAGGGGGTGGGGGAGGACACTAAGGAATCATTCCATATTTATTAAGAAAGGGCCTTTGATAATAAATTGCTTTGATTAGGAGGAAAACCAGAGAGGACAGTGGAGGCAGGGGACCTTCAGTAGGCTAGAAGCAGAGGGGCAAAGAAAGCAGGAGCTGACTTGGTTATAAGCACAACGCCATGGAGCCTCTGGGAGTTGGGGTTGGGTTCTTGTTTTCCTTTTAGTTCTCGTTATTAACATGCGTTAATTAGCAGGAGGCATTTTTAAGCAACAACTCTGGTAGAAACCGTAGGGATCAACTGAACGAGTGCGAGGTGTTTTTCGTTTGGATGATTTTAAGATGCTGTGGCAATAAAAATGGACATGATGCCCTTGGTAGCTAAGGGGCTCTCTGGTTTTGTCTTTAATGTGAAATGTAAAATGAATTCACAGGACATAGAGGGACGGCCGAAGACTACCCCAAACAGAAGCTCGTTTCTCACCTCTCCCTCTTGTCTCAATTACATCTTGAAAAATACTATCGTTATCACCCCAATTCTTAGTCATGAGGTGAACTATATGTTCCGCTCCCGGCTCAAATACCTCTACGGGGTGAATCTTTTGAGTAAGATTTACTCCTTCTGTCATCTTCCTGACACCTTCACCTGAGAAAGGTACACAGTGAAATCATATAAATTATGTCACCACTGAAAGGCAGGATATGACAGGTAAAAAAAAAATATTCTGTTATTTGAGATTGAAAAAAAAAATCAAGCCATTTTAGCATTTCATTTTCTTAAATAGGTCTTGGATAATGGAATGAATGAGAATATCAACATTTCAAGACTTGTGTTTTTTTTTTTAATATGCTGAAATGAATAAATGAAATGAGTTTGATTGATTCATGGGCTCTTGAGATGATAGGTTGTGGATGGAATGGTCTATAAATCTGCCCGGTCATGTGAGTGGTTCAAACCCAAACACAGACTTCAAAGAAGTTATATTCTGTGATGTGCAATTTTGGATTTCCAGAGACCTAGTGGGGAAATGACAAAGGCCTGTTTGACTTATAATTGACAGCATGTGGCATTATGATTTTACTTAAATATATTTAAAATAACTAAATATTAAATCACTACATTATGTATGTACATATAGATATACGCACATGCATATACACCTATAGATACATACATATTCTTTTTGACTCCATCTTCTCTATAAATACTGATGGAATAGCATCATAATATGGTTATATATTAAATATTTGAAATTAGTGGAAATTTAAGCTACATAAAGTGCAGGTTTATAGGAACATCTAAATGGAATGGTTTCACTGACATTTTTGAAAGTGGTATGAGAAATTAATAATTTTCCAAAAAGAATTATGGAGATGTCAATACATTGATGGTAGAACCTCAGAGTAACAGATGAAAATGAGTCAAGTTTCATTAAATTTCATAAATTTCATTTCAAGTTTCATTAAATTTCATTTCAAGTTTCATTAAATACATAAAATTTCTGATCTTGCAACCAAATATGCAAACTATTTTTGCATTTAATATATAGTTTTGCTAGGAATCAACTCAATTTTATAAATGCAAACCTGAAAACGATATAACAATTTATACATGAAATAAAGTGTTTCTTATTTAGAATATAAGGACTTATGAAAACTCTGTCTCAAATGGGTATATGTTACCTTCAATATTTGGTTATAACTTCACTATAGAATACAAATTGCTTATATAGTTAATGAACAACTGAAAGCCTTTATTTAAAGTGGCACCCTGGACAACATAAGGTCAGTTATAGAGCTGAGCAAAGCCTTTAGGATTAATCAATGTTGAAATAGAATGCAATCAATTTTGAGCCTGGGAAAAAAAGAAATATTAGTATAATGTTAAGTAGTTCAAACTTTTGAAAAAATAGAGAAAAGCATATGATTTATTGAAACAACTAATCACACAAAATAATATTTCTAATTAACTTCATTTTTTTCCCCTCTCTCAGATTATGGAATGGGAGTCACCCGAAAATTGGAACGAATACCAGAGGACTTTTTTTTTTTTAAATGCATGTCTATTGCATAACACAGTATAAATAAGCACCAGACCATCTTAAAATGGGCTATGTAGGCAGAGCAAGAAGAAGACAGACATGCAGTAGTAGATTCCAATTTGCACAAAAGGTATCATTTTTGCAGTATCTAATGATGCCAAGATGCATCTCCTCGGCAGAAATATACTTTTTTTTTTTTTTTTGCAAAGATCATATTGAAACCCAGTGAGGGGGGAAAGGGATAAGACATATGGCAAGACATATCTACAGAAGAGAAATCAGTGTCAACTGAGGAAGGGATAATTGAAAATGAAGATTCCTGAAAAAGAGCACAAACACACTAGTAAGGAACATTTTTATATTATCCACACATAAGACAGTGAAGAACTCTGCTTTAAGATACTAGAGAACATTAGTGATATCTTTAGTTCGCAGAGAGATGATGTAGCACTGGTTAAAATCACACACGCGGCATTTCCACCCTGCACACCCCAATTTGTCAAGCATGAATGCAACCTAGCCCCAAATCTTCAACCTACATGCTAGAATGTGCAACATTGGTGAGGCAGTTGTGTGAATTTTTTTTTCCTTTTATGCTGCAAATTGGCAAGAATCAGACTAGCATTTCCCATGAATCTCATGTTCCTGTTTCTATCCAACAACCATTTCTGTGCCTTCAAACCTGTTGTTAAAAATAACGGAATTTATTTGGATATATTTTACAGGATGTATATAGGTGACGACTTCTCATCTCTGAATGGAACCCTGGATGCCAGTTTGAATCCCTAACAAATAAGATCCTTTAGTCACTAGAAAGGGTCCAGCCACCCTCTTGAAGTTAGTTTAAATTTTATGAGAAGATAAATCAGTTTATTGCACTCAGTGTTCAATTCTCCCTTGGGAATAGTTTTTGGGATGCCTTTTCGGGTTATTTGAATGTATCTTCTTCCTATTTAAGGGAGTTTTAAGTGTTTAAGGATTTGGAAGAACATAAAAATTTTGTTAACAAGATAAAGTAGAAGCCGGGTATGGTGGTGCACACTTTTAATCCCAGGAGCACAGGAGGCTGAGGCAGGAGGATCCCAAGGAAGCCAGCCTCAGCAACAGTGAGGTGCTAAGAAACTCAGTGAGACCCTGTCTCTGAATTAAATACAAAATAGAGCTGGGGATATGGCTCAGTGGTTGAGTGCCCCTGAGTTCAATCCCCATTACCAAAAAGAAAACAAAGAAGATCAAGTAGAGACAAGAAGAGGTAGAGACACACTGATTTATGGTGACTCACAAACTCATGTCTATTTAAAATCTCTCTTTAATAAATGTTCTTTTTACTGTTTTCTCCTCTTGGTATTTCTTCCCCCTGAACCTGTTGTTTTTCTAATCTACAATTTGGAAAAGCATTTACAACAGAAGGATATTTGCCACCTGCTACGTGGTAAACAAATGCATGTATTTCCCTTCCCCAACACCCACTGCTTCTTTTTCCACCAAATCCCCCCATGCCTGACCGGCCTGAACCCTTCAGAAGTCCTTCTTAACTTTTTAGTGAATACACCAGTTCCTCTGATGCTTTTCCCTTCACTTTGCCAGCTTATTTCTCTGCTGGTGCCTCTGGGTATTAAAAAAAAAAATTTAGGAAGAACACTGCTAACATCATAAATGGAGAAATAATTCAGGAAGGAAAATGTGGTTATAAGATAGGATCGAAAAGAAAAGTCTAGTTGAATAAGGAGAATTGAACTGCAAGTGAAATCATAATTGGTGAGCCACTTTCCATTCAGGTAGTTGGTATCAACCACCAGATAGTAAAACAAAAGAGACATCTAAATCTATGCATGATATGAATCCAGGTCTGGAAATAAGATACATTATCGCTGTGTGGCAAAATGCCTATTGAGGTGAAAGGCAAATATTATTCTTTATGGATTCATTACTCAAAGAAAAAATATCCCTCCACCAACCTCGTGAATGACTTCATGACCTGGTGTCTACTTCATGACCTGGTCTCCTACTTTAATTAAGAAGAATTACGGTTCCTGGCCTTAGTGTAGGCTCAGCTAGGGTCTGATTGCTGCTATTCATAACTCATCCGTGTGAACTTTGTCAACAGTGTTAGTAAATTCCGTATCTATGCTCACGGGAAACAGAAGGTCAGACGGATTTGGACTGCAATCTTTCCTCATCTCCCATGAGTGCATGGTGCATTTCTTTTCTAGTACCATGGGTGTGTCAAGACACAAGGTGCAGAAGGCTGGGGTACTTACTCCCTTCTCCCAAGGTGGCACTCTCCTCCGTGATGGGCTTCCCACAGCCTTTGGAAGTGCAAGCTCTCAAGTAGAACTTGTACTTGGTGGTTGCATTGAGGTTTGAGAGACGCCAGCTGGGTTTGGTTGGAGTTGAAATGTTGACAGCATTTAATTCTCCAATCTCATCGGTGTCATTGACTAGAGGAATAAACGGACATAATGATGCCTCACATTTCACATTACTCAAGTGACACCGCCCCTTAGTTTTGCTTATACATATGCCTGTGTTGCACAAGGAATTATTTTAATTATTCATAACTATCGACTCATCCAATCTTAGGGTATAGACGGGATTACTGATTACTCAGGCATTGGGGGATGACTGAGATTGATCAAGAATAAACACTTTGCCCAGATCTAGAGTCGGTAATTGGCAAACTGAGATTTGCATAAACCATCATCGTTTGACCCC